TGACAATGAACAAGAAGATTAAAGTACTTTGTTAAAACTGAAAGAAGCTGTAAACGAAAAGAGATATCCTGCATCTCAAGGAACGATATCTTCTGCCCGAAGGAAGAAGCTGGAACATGGCCTTTTCAGTGAAGAAGAGTGTAAGAGATTATGACAGAAGAGTCATTATTTTAAGGAAGAAATATCCATTATAGTTTCAGACTTAGATTACAAAAACTAAACATTTGAGAAAAAAAGAACAAGAATTTTATCTGCTTTGATTTTAAAAGAAATGTACTGTGATTATATGAATGAATGAAGTTATGTCACTTTACTGCACTGCTAAACGTCCATTGTGTGTACATAGTGAACTTGTATATTTTAGAAGTAGAAGTAATTACTTATATATTACTTGTATATTACTAAGTAATTTTTTAGAAATGTTATGTAGATGTTTTCATTATTATTTTTTATTTTTCTATGCATGCCTTATTCTATTTTTACTTTTATAACTTGTTTGCACCGAGAGCCAAAGCAGTTTCCTTGTTGTTCTCTTCCTGTTACTCACAAAAAGAATTCTGAATTATGCTACACAAATGAACTTACCTTGAAGTGACACATTTTATTTCTATATGTGGTATACATTTACATGTTTCCCAGTCTTTTACCAAAAAGTATTGAGATTCAGAAATGTTGTATTTGTCCCACAGTGGGGAAATCTCAGTGTTGCATCACCAGTTACAGAACAGTAGGAATGAGGAGCACACAGCACAAGATAAATGAACAATAACTCTATAGTAAAATAAAAGTAATCTCTAACTTCACCGTAATGAAGAAGCAATTATAAAACTTTAACAATACAAAGAAGAAAGTATACATTCTCTAACTGAATGAGGAAGTATGACACAGTTTGTTGTGTAGCTCAACCTCTGCAGCTTTATGAATGAGTCGGAGTGTGACAGTGGCAGTGGCCCTGATCACGTCTCTGGCCCCTGTCCCTCACCCAGGGGCCCGTCAGGAGGTAACAGAACGGAGTGTGGATTCCTGCTCCAACCTAAAATACTCTGAAAGGACATTTGTAAAAGAAAGGATCGACAGTTGAGGCTTTAATTAGCAGATCCTAATCTATTCAGCGCCACGCTCCAGGCAAAGACCCAGGGGACCAGGGCTGCACCGACACCAGACGGGCCCCAGCCTTTTACCAATAAAGTCCAGCGGTTTATCCCAGAGGAGTTTGGATGTAGCAATTGTCCGGTAGTTATTTCATCCTTTTTTTCAATCAGCTTCAACCTTTATTCTGATCTTGAGTTATCTGGGTTTTGATTGTAACGACTGAAGGTGTAAGCATTTCATTCTATCTCTTTTTAGATTGTATTTTGTATGTTTTTAATTATTTATGTATATATAAAAAAAAAGAAAACAATTCAGATCTGATGCTTATGAGGTGGGACTTATGACCAGAAAGTGACCGGACCAGACAAGGGGAATGAAATGGAGTAATTTAAAAGTTTTGTTTTTGGTTTTTTTTTCATATTCCGTGTTAAAGCTGGGGTAACCCTAACCCTAACGGTCAAAACACACACAAAATTATCTATGGGATCAAGTTGTCTTAAAGGGAAGGAGTTTTGCACTGTTTTTCAAAGTGACATAAGGAATACTAAAACTATTTTGTCATAGGGAAAGACCACAGTAATCAGAATTAAACATTTGTGTTCCAGGTATTATTCCTGAATGTCTTGAATTTACAATTATACCGGTAATTATAACCCACGGGTACCCAGAAATAATATATTTTGTTTGTCTCAACAGAAATAGTCTCTTGTAAAACACATGCATGCTGTTAATGCATAAAGCTGATCTACAGTTCATAGTTTTGGCTTTATAATTCATTCATTCATGTTTTTCAATAGCCATACTGCGGATTTCCTTTATTTTGTAATTCAACAGAAAATTTCCTCCTCCCATCTTTTATGTTGGGGTCACAGTTTACGGTTTGTGGATACGGGCTGTGTCCTGCAGATAAAGGTGGTTTGCATTGGTAGCGTGTGATGTTGGTGCTATAAAAGAAAATCTGCCTTAGGGGCTTTCTGTCACCAGATCTACTGGGAAAGGTCGTCAAGTATGAAAAGGACTTGTTCTAAGTATGGAAAATGTGTGGAGTCATCGGCAGGTTTCCTCTTTTATACATAAAGTAGGTCCAAAGTGTAGTATTTAAGCATTTAAAAACTACCACTACTTAGATTATACAGAAAATGTGGGCTGTTCTCCCATCCAAAAATGTCATCCTATTTTTAGCCTGAAGTGAATCTCCAATTAGCAAACCTTGAAAGCTGTCAGGGGATAACCAGGCAAGGTGATAAAAGTCTAAAATTTGTAATGATGGCTTTTGTTATGCAGATGCTGCTTGTGTCTTCATGCTGGTAATGAACTCACACAAAGGCAGCCATCTTGGCAGAGGCCCCATTGTCTATAGTGCCGTGTACGTCTTGAATATTACATGGAAGTCGGTTGACAGCAGTTGGTTTGTCCATCTGCCTCGGAAGATGAATCATATATGAGGCCAGGGATTAGGAGTTAATAAGGTGTAAAGTATCAGAGTGATACATGTGAGCCGACATGCACAATAATAATATAAATGTAATAATTGAGTTATGATGGGTTAATTGCATTGTCTAAATATGAATAGGGTAAATGTATGTAGGGCCCATGTAAGTGAAGTTTATTGTAATTGAGTTCATTAAAGTTGCAAGCATTGTCAAATCAGTTGAACGCAGGCGATATATGCACTGATTAAATTATGTATGAGGACTGCTGTATTCAAAAGGTTTTGCATATTGTAATTACACATTGTCCTGATCAATAGATATGTTTACATTAAATCAATAGGTCTATGTATGAAATATGACATGTATTTAAGGATTTAAGAGGACACACTGAAATCAGAATCCAGCAGGAAAAGGGACAGTTGGGAAAAGGCCCATTTTTGTCTTTGGAATGTAATGGTTGTCATTCAGTTGTCTTGGCCTTTTACATTTGTATGTGCTTTTCAAACTATATGTTTTATTATGAAGTGCTGTGTGACCCTGGTCGTTGAAAAGTGCGGTACAACTAGGCCCACTTACTTACAGTTGTTAATGTATGCATAATTTAAAACTCCTAAACGTTTTCTCAAGAAAAATAGCAATAAATAAATAAACCCCATCAAATAGCATGCGCTTGTATACAGATATGAAAGTACTTCAAAACTGAAAAATTCTTTTGATCTAAAATGTAAGTGAGGGCCTTGGATCTATAGGGGGTAAGGTCCGTTGTTATTATAGATCCATGGTAAGGACACACTTTTGCTGTTGGTCATCGCCATCTTGTGGACAATAGTGGTACGTTGAGAAATGGTGATTTACTACAGTCAAACATTCATATACAACACTATTGTACAAAAGGATATGTGCCGTTTGACTTTTATTATCAAAATAATGAAACATTTATTACGTATTGTCCTAAGTCCTAGAAATATGCTTAGATGGATGAACAAGAAACCCCTCTTTATATTTCCTGCTGCTCCATAAAAACAGACATTTTTAACATTGTCTTTTGAGGTAAAATGTGTCAAAAAAGGAGAAAAGCTGTGTCGTGCAGGAGAGAGCATAAGAGAGAAAAATATCCCACAGGCTGAAAAGTGTAGAGTAAAGCTGCAAAACTACAAAAACAAAAAGAAAGTGCAGAACGAAAAACCATGTTTGTATCTTAGATCACTATCATTTGAAAAAAAGGGAAGGAAAAAAAATAATGTGGCTTTGTGTTCCAATCACTTTCTTAAAAGAAAAGAACATTTTTAAAAAAACATAGTAAATAAAATACCAATGAAAAAGTTGAGTGGCTACAAATCTATCTCAAAACATGTATTTGTATGTATTTTAAACGTCACAATACAGTTGTAATCTGAACACAATGTTGTATTTCTCTAAAAAAACAGAGAACTGGGAACAATAAGCAGTAAAATAAACAGTCCACATTCACCTGCCTTCATCAACACTATGAGGTCAGTAAAGGAAATGCACCTGATTTCCAGTTTCAGTGTTAAACTCAGCAGTGAAAGAGCGTCTAAAGTTACATTCAGAGATTTCATGAAAAGTCTTGTCCCCGACTTCATTTGCTTTGAGCGATTCTACTGCGCTTCCTCTCGTCTCTTCAGTGCCATAGTTTAGAGCAGTGGTTCTCAACGGGAGTCAGGACCCATCCCACACATATGACGCCAAGTCGCAACCCAAAAAAGAACTGAAGTGTAAAAATAATGTAAAATCATGTGTTTTCTCTAATTATGTTTTTATAAGCATTGAACAATACTACAGGCCCAACATTGATAAAAATAACTCCAACAGACTCCGGAATAGAGATAGTGAATAGAAATCAGTAAATTTGGCAGAGGAGGAAGTTTTAAATGAAGTTTTGTACAATTATTTTTTAAAATTTAGATAAGTATGTAGTCTTTAGTTATATAGCGCCTTCCACAGACCAGAGCCACAAAGCGCTTCACAATTGTTTTGGGCATTTGTCTCTCACTCCACACAGAGATGGGAGCAGGGTCCACACAGTGGAGTTTGGAGTTTGGGGAGTTTGCAATTTAAACATAAAAACTTGCATCATGGACAACAATCTTAACCCTTTACGTGCCCAAATAGCATAATTGCTATATGAGCTTGAGAGGACACTTTCTATACAGCAACCTACAAATGTTTCCCTACATTTTGATGTAATTGGTTTCTGTCTCTGATTTAACAAGTTCTCTTTCAGAGCTCCACAATTTGTCTGCTACACATTACATTCATGAAAAAAACGAAAGCATTAAATTACTTTCTTACAGGCAATTTCTTGACTCTGTGACTCTTGTTACTGTCATTTCTTTGCAGTGTAGTAGAAGCATATTATAATAACGTTTCCCAGAAAGGGCTTGCGACCCACTAGAACTGACCCCTGACCCCCGAGTTGAGAACCACCGGTTGCTCCTGCCGCTTCTCGAGCCTCTACCCGTAGCGTTTGAAGCGGTCGCTGCGCAGGTGCTTGGTGCAGCTGGCGCAGCAGAAGCCAGAGTAGTACTGGTTGGAGCAGAGGCGAGCATACACGATCAGCTGACAGTTGGCGAGCTCTGGTTGGTCCACGCAGTCCTCGGGGACATCGTTATCTGAGGATCACAAGCCAGGTTTGTGAAAAGGCAAGCCTGCTCATCAAAACAATACTTTACTGGCACGTGCTGTCAGAACAAGATTTTAGATACTGTACAATGTTGAAGAAAAAATAGACTAGAATCCCCTAAAGAGCACTATTAAAGCTGGGGGACCTAACTTTCACACCGCAAACCTCTCATTGGAGTGTTTTAGATCTCATTTTAAGACCCACATTTAACACTGAGTGAATTATGTGGTCCTCTGTCTTTTATTTATTTGTTCTTTCTTAATTGCATACAGCAGTGTCTCCAAAAGTGGGGTCCGCAGCCCACCTGCAATACCCTCTGGGGGGCCGCGGACCCCACTTTTGGAGACACTGCTGTGTCATAACATATTTTTTTTAAATACATAATTATTGTATGTTAAATCAATAATATATTGTTTTTAAAATTAAAATATTTGTGTTTATTATTTGACATGAATAATCAAATTGTAATCATTTTGTATTACAAAATGGGGTGCACCATTTACATGTTTGTAGCAGAGGATTTTTCCCCCAAATAAAATGACGAGAAGAGCCTATTTTTTAACATTGTCTTCTTGGTTAGTACTTCAGGGGGGCGCGCAGACCTGTCAGATTTTTAAGGGGGCCACGGTGTTACTGACTTTGGAATGGCTGGCATACAGTAAATCAATATCTTATTGGTTTCATGTTTTTAGCTTTTGAGTTTTCCCTTTGTTTTCTAATTGCACATGTCCATGTGGTTTCTTTTATATATGCAGCCTTTTGAAACTATTTGTGAAATGCACACTGTATATTACTTTATTGGAAATAAACTGGACTATGTAATAAAAATCTATCTGACAGTTTGGTAATGTCACTAGTTTTTACATGCATGTATTTTTTCAGTGGTGATGATCCAGGACACTCGACATTCAACAATGTGTATGAACATTTATCAACATTTATGGACATGGCTCAGCTGCCCCTTATGGACCAAAAACTAAAAAATCATTGCATTTATTGTGTTTGGACTTTTTGATTCTCTGATCTCTGTTTAACTACTGTTGTGACTTAGGGCTATACAAGAATAAATTGAATTGAATGGAATGTGAACCCCCTGATCTGAACCCGAGCGGTGTTCAGTTGTTGGACTTCTGTGCCAGTCGCGGTTTGTCCATCACGAACACCATGTTAGAGCACAAGGGTGTCCACCAGTGCACGTGGCACCAGGACACCCTAGGCCGGAGGTCGATGATCGACTTTGTTGTCGTATCATCTGACCTTCGACCGCGTGTCTCGGACACTCGGGTAAAGAGAGGGGCGGAGCTGTCAACCGATCATCACCTGGTCGTGAGTTGGATCCGCTGGCAGGGGAAGAAGCCGGTCAGACCTGGCAGACCCAAGCGTATAGTGAGGGTCTGCTGGGAACGTCTCGCTGAGCCCCCTGTCAGACGGACTTTCAACTCACACCTCCGGGAGAGTTTCTCCCAGGTCCCGGCGGAGGAGGGGGACATGGAGTCCGAGTGGATCATATTCTCTGCCTCAATCGCCGATGCGGCGGCTCGTAGCTGTGGTTGCAAGGTCTCTGGTGCTGTTCCCGGCGGCAACCCCCGAACCCGGTGGTGGACACCGGCAGTAAGGGATGCTGTCAGGCTGAAGAAGGAGTCCTATCGAGCCATGATGGTTCGGGGGACTCCTGAGGCAGCTGTCCAGTACCGGCAGGCCAAGCGTGCCGCGGCCCGGGCTGTTGCAGAGGCAAAAACCCGGGACTGGGAGGAGTTCGGAGAGTCCATGGAGCATGACTATCGGTCGGCCTCGAAGAGATTCTGGCAAACCATCCGACGCCTCAGGAGGGGGAAGCAGTTCTTTGCCAACACCATGTACGGTGCGTGTGGAGAGCTGCTGACCTCGACTGGGGATATTGTCGGGCGGTGGAAGGAATACTTTGAGGTTCTCCTCAATCCCCCCGTCACGTCCTCCGTTACAGAGGCAGAGGCTGAGGATGTTGGGGCGGGTACATCCATCTCCCTGGCTGAGGTCACCAAGGTGGTTGGTAGCCTCCATGGTGGCAAGGCTCCGGGTGTGGATGAGATCCGCCCTGACTATCTAAAGTCTCTGGATGTTGTAGGACTGTCTTGGCTGACACGTCTCTGCAACATCGCGTGGCGATCGGGGGCAGTGCCAATGGAGTGGCAGACCGGGGTGGTGGTCTCTCTCTACAAGAAGGGGGATTTGTCCCGGTCGCGGAACACTGGACCAGCTCTATATTCTCCATCGGATACTCGAGGGTTCATGGGAGTTCGCCCAACCTGTCCACATGTGCTTTGTGGATTTGGAGAAGGCGTTCGACTGTGTTCCCCGGGGTGTCCTTTGGGGGGTTCTCCGGGAGTACGGGGTCGGAGGTCCTCTGCTGAGGGCCATCCGATCCCTGTATGACCGGAGCCAGAGCTGTGTTTGCATTGCCGGCAGTAAGTCAGACCTGTTCCCGGTGAATGTTGGCCTCCGACAGGGCTGCCCTTTGTCACCGGTTCTGTTCACTGTATTTATGGACAGAATATCTAGGCGCAGCCAGGGGTCGGAGGGGGTCCGGTTCGGAGACCACAGGATTTCATCTCTGCTGTTTGCGGACGATGTTGTCCTGTTGGCTCCAACGAACCAGGACCTGCAGCATGCACTGGGGCGGTTTGCAGCCGAGTGTGAAGCGGCTGGGATGAGAATCAGCACCTCCAAATCCGAGGCCATGGTGCTCGACCGGAAAAAGGTGCCTTGCCCTCTGCAGGTGGGTGGAGAGGTCCTTCCTCAAGTGGAGGAGTTCAAGTATCTCGGGGTCTTGTTCACGAGTGAGGGAAGAATGGAGCGTGAGATTGACAGGCGGATCGGTGCAGCGTGCGCAGTTATGCGGTCGCTGTATCGGACCGTTGTGGTAAAGAGGGGGCTGAGCCGAAAGGCAAAGCTCTCGATTTACCGGTCAATCTTCGTTCCCTCCCTCACCTATGGTCATGAGCTTTGGGTAATGACCGAAAGAACGAGATCGCGGATACAAGCGGTCGAAATGAGCTTCCTCCGCAGAGTGGCTGGGCGCTCCCTTAGAGATAGGGTGAGGAGCTCAGTCACACGGGAGGAGCTCGGAGTAGAGCCGCTGCTTCTCCACGTCGAGAGGAACCAGTTGAGGTGGCTCGGGCATCTGTTCCGGATGCCTCCTGGACGCCTCCCTGGGGAGGTGTTCCGGGCACGTCCCACCGGGAGGAGGCCCCCCCGGAAGACCTAGGACACGCTGGAGGGACTATGTCTCTCAGCTGGCCTGGGAACGCCTTGGGGTCCCCCCGGACGAGCTGGAGGAAGTGTGTGTGGATAGGGAAGTCTGGGCGTCTCTGCTTAGACTGCTGCCCCCGCGACCCGGCAACGGATAAAGCGGAAGAAAATGGATGGATGGATGGATGAATGGAATGTATTTTTGGCCTCTGTCTTTAGATCAGCTTTTTCAGACAGAAAAGTGACAACGAGAGCTCCAAGAACCTAGATAAATGATAAATCCTCTTCCTTTTAGCTCTAGTTTGGTGATGCATCATTCCCTGTCCTACTTTGACACTATCCCATATGCATAAATACATGTTGTGAGTATAAGATAAGATTGCTTTATTTATCTCACATAGTTTTTGTTTTAATGAGACTAAATACATTTTACATAGACAGTAAAATGAATCATATGAAAAGCATGTGGCCCTCACCCTGCGTGGCTTCCTTGAGGACCCGCACGTCTGCAGTGGCGCTCACAGAGTAGATCCCAGTGAAGGCGTTGCAGCTGTAGGTGCCTTCATCAGAGGACTTCACTCTGTTTATGATCAGACTGCCATCAGGCGACACCAGGAGGTTCCGTCCGTCTGGTCTCACTGGGACGCCATTTCTAGTGGGCAACAACAGCAGTGTAATTATAGATACAGACTACTAAAGGCATTTATTATAGCTCTTATTTGGGAAGCTAAGATAAGATAAGATATGCCGATGCAACAACATTTATGGACATTATTAACAATTATCAACATTGGTCATCTGCCCCTTATGGACCAATACCAATGTGGTTTTTTGAATCATTACACTTCTTGTCATAGTTGTACACTTTACAGCAGAATAAGATGAGAAAATATCAAACAGGATCTATTATTTAAGATTAAATAAAATAAAATTATAAGATGATGAACTCTAGAGCTATAATTGCAGTTGGGTCAAGGATAAATGAGGATTCACATTTACAGATGGTACTGTATTTTAGCATCAGCGAATATGTCCAGATAAACATTAGTATGCAGTAAAAGTACGTACCTGGACCAGCGAATACTGACGTTGTCCCCGGACACGACACAGGGCAGAAGAGCTGTGCTGCCTTCAGACACTTCAATGTTATTAGGAGCAGTGGTGATCCTCAAGTCAGCTATGGAGGAAAATACATGGCTGTTACTGACCTCTTGTGGTGGTATAATTGAACAACACGAGACAAGGGACTTTAAAAATATAACAGTGTGATTTTTAAAACAGTGTGGTACCTTGCACTCTGAGCTGTATCTGCCTCTGCTCCAGCTGCTGTGGACTCGACACAGTGCAGGTGTAAAGACCAGAATCATCAGACCTCAGTGGACCCACGATTAAAGTCCCATCGGAAACATGAGTGACCCTGGGAAAGAAACATGTAACTACTATTATTAGGGATGTGTCACTATCAAAACAGGATCTTGGTGAGCCCTTGATTTTTTGCACACATTATAAAGTAGGCTTTGCTCAATAACAGAAAATTATTAAATGAACAAACTTTTGGCATCTTCTAAGAAACAAAGTCCTTTTCTAGAGTGTTTATACTGGTGTAAAATAAACAAAACAGAACATGCATGCTATAATTACACTGAACTTACAAGCTTGGCTAACCACTTCATAATCTGCAAAGGACTAGTACAACTTGATCAATTTACAAAGTAATGTAAGGAGTAGAAAGTACAGATATGTGAGTTTGAAAGCAAGGAGTTACAGTAAACAAGTTGTCAAGGGATAAAATAACTGATATCAGAAAAACAAAAAGAAGAAATAATATGCATTTCCTCTCAAAAAATTATCATGAGACTATATACTTTTCACCATGATGTCGACATCATACTATTACAGAACCGAGACAGGGGCTTTTAGACTGAAGGCCAGAAGTTTCTATCATTAGTTTTGATAGTTCTAAATACAACTCCAGGTCTATGTTTGATGATGTTATTTATGTCTCTTTTAAGTAAATAATACATTTATGATTATTTGCCACCTGCCTAATGGTGAAACAAGACTACATAGCAACAGTTTTAAACACGCAACTTTGAATGCATATGTAAGTCTAAAGTAGTGTAATAATTTAATCATTTAGTGACTTTCTGTACCTAGAGTCGGTGAGTGTGCGTCCGTCCCTGGTCCACTGGATGTTGACCGTCTGCAGCGCTGAAGGAGGGAGCACGGTGCAGGTCAGCCGAGCGGTCAGTCCTTCTCGCAGCTCCAGCACAGACGCGTCGCTCTGATCGATGCTGAATCTGTGAGAGAGAGGGTTGTGTCAGGCTGCGGACTCGACTATTGTTGTGTAGTAGTAGTGCAAATGTATCTTACTTTGAGGAGGGGCTGTCGCTGGGCAGTGAGGGATCCAGAGGAGCGGCTCCTTCTGACAATAACACGTAATATACATCTGTAACATCTAGTCCGTAACATCACACTGAAACTAGAGTATGAATAAGAGGTCGCAAGATCATTCTAAAGCAGTATTTAGTGGAATCAAATTGTAGCATGTTTATATACAGATAAAAATATAAAAAAAGTTATGCATCTTATCCTGACTGATTATGTTACCAGAGACAGAAAGGTAAATGTAGCGGTGATCCCTGTCCTGGTCCCTGGTCGCGACGCACAGGTACCAGCCCTTGTCTGACTTGAGTAAAGGGCCGACCAGCAGGGAGCCGTTGGGCTGCTGGTGGTGTCTGTGAAGAGAGACAGAGACAGGTGCTTGAAAAGACGTGACTGTGAATGATGTGATTTAATAAGAAGGTAAAACAGCAGTGGTCAGTCTCCCCCTCACCATCAGGAGTCACTAGAGCATTTTAAAACTTTATTAAAGACTTGGCTAAGCTTTTTTTCTGATGTTGATGTTTTATTGTTTTAATGTTTGCCTTTACTGTGTGTTCAGCACTTTGGTCTACTGTGGTTGTTTTTGAATGTTCTATACGAAAAGATTTGACGTTGACTTTGATAGTTGTAATTAGACATGATTCCAGACATGACATTAGAAAAACCTTAGAATAACCTTTGCACAAGTATTATGCACCACAATTATGTCATTGAATTGATTTTTATTTTTGAAAGATGAATAATTAGGCCCCTGCTCTCTAGTGGAATTCTTGCTATCTTCGTACTATGTTCAGGTGAAAATTGTAAGTTAACTCTTTTGATAATGCATATTTGATAACAATACATCAAGCCTTTATTTGATTATAGTTATAAAGTTGAGAATTATGGCTTAAGGCTAATAATAATAACATGTCTTGCAGAAAAAGAATATTATGAAAATGGACTCTGAGCCATAATAATCCATATTGGCCTAGTCACTATGCATGTAACAAGTTTTCAATGACATTCTAATTTTCAGTGTCTTGTCTGTATATATTGTAAATAACAAAATATATTGCATTCAAGTACCTGTAAGTAAAGTAATCTATACTAACATTCACTGGACGACATCCTCTCAAATACTTTTAGAATGGCGATGATTCTGACTGAATACAGTATGTGACTAATACTGTTCACTAATAGTAATAATAAATGGGATGGTATTGTAAACAGATTCTAATTTTCTTGTGACCCCAGTGACATCCATCCATCAGAGTCCAGACTGACCTGCTGGTGGACTGAGCGAGGCCGTCTCTCCTCCACTCCACAGAGACGGTGGACGAGGGCAGAGGACTCACTCTACACGGCAGCACCACGGTCTGTCCCACCAGAGCCTCCACTGTGTCCGGATCTGACTTATCAATACTCACTCCTCCCAGGGTTAAACTGCGAACGGAGGCCGGAAATAAAAGGCATAGGACAGGAAAGACTGTGGATAGGACAACTTGGATAGACAGATTCAGACTCAATAGTGAAAATCGTTGTGCGCTTGATTGGAACACCACCAACGCAAGCATTTGGAAAGAGAATAGAAAATTTCCAGCAATCAAACTGTATGAAGGGAAAGGTAGAAACTGTATTCATTTGTTCCATTTGTAAGAAGACTTCCCCCAGACACAAGAAAATATCCCAGGATGTAACCAACAGACAATAGACGGACACAGACAAGGACATTATAAGCATCACGGCACTATTTATTAGTTCACATAAAACAGTGAGATAAAAAAGAATCAAACAAAAATCCCAAAAGACGGCAGGTGACAAAAGCAGACACCAAAAGCACGTTGACAAAGAGTGAATGAATGAAATGTCCCAAACACGTGATTCTTAAGAGTCCATTGGTGAAAGCTACCGACGTAGAAAGTGCGAGGCAAGTTTGAAAGCGTGATTTGTGGTGCAACCAACAAAAAGAGTGATGTGACAAAGCAAGATCATACAAGCAATAGGTCTGCACAAAACACATTTGCAATAATAATTTATGTGATGCTTTTTATACCCATTTCCAGGTTTCATTAGCTAAACCGTCAATTAATGCCAAATCGGAGTTCACGTGTTATTGTGCAGCCCAAACAAACAACACAACAATCATATACAAAACAGATACACAAAACATGTAACATTTAAAAACATTGTTCTTTTAGTTTCACTTTCATCTTCACCATTTGGTACAACCCAATGTGACTTTCGTGTATTTTAGCCTTCAAAGTGTGACGTTGGTATTTAACCACAGTAAATATGAAGAAAAAGATATCAACCTTTAAATCTAGAATCTAAAGCCACTTGGTAATAAAAAATCCTTCCTGTTCAATACTTAACGACTGATAAGCCCCGCCTCCTACAGACTGCAAGGATGACAAATAGCTACATACTACCACCTTTTTTCACCAAATACAGTTGTGCTCAGACGTTTACACCCAACTTATTGTCAAATAAACATGTTTTCTGTTTTCAAATTAAACTCAGACGCCCTTAATTTAGAAGTTCTCGAAAGCATACCTTCCCCTTTAACATCTATAACGGATTCAAGATTCTTTTGTGGTAGTTATGGATGAAGTTCTTTATCCTCTCTGATGATAAGGCTGCCCCTTCTCTAGTTCCTGTCATTTCCTGGGCTGCCTTGCGCAAACTGCACATGTGAGATCTCCCCAGAGCGGCTCCATGATGTTATAATTAGAGAACAGAAAACAGATTTATTTGACAATTTGGTTTCACACAAGCGCTAATGTTGAATCTCTAAAATATGATCAAAACAATGAAATCTCCGGTTGGCCATAAGCTCTCAAGCACAACTGTATGTTTGACAAATGCAGAGAAATGGGCGGGGATAGGTGGTAGTTGAAACACACATTTTGACCGCAAAGTGGGAATCTAAATGAAACGTTGGGTAAGCTAACGACGAGGGAACACTGTTTTAACAAGAGAAGCTACATTTTCCCCCTGAGCTGTTTTTGCGAATCGACATTTTGGTCACATTCACCGCTTCAGACTCCTTTTTTTCTTTCCTTTCCTTCCGTCTCCCTCGGCTCTTACCTGGCTGCGGGGCCGGTGTGTGCTGCGGCGGGAGCGGGTGCAGGCTCGGAGGTGTGCCGCGCCCTCATCCCAAGCCGGGCTCTGTGGGCGTGTGTAGCGGCGTTTGTCCCGTACCTGGAGCCACTCTGCACAGTGAACACTCGGCCCATGCTGGGATCCCGGGCCCCCGCAGACCCACCCCTCCCAGCCCCTGATCCTGCCGAGGGACGCGCTGCTGTGGAGGTGGTTCTTTCTCTGGGCAGAGAGACCGGGGAGGGACCCATTTGGCTCGGGGTGGGAGGCTGGCAGGCCTTCTGGCACTCGGCCCGGGTCATGAAGTTATTGTTGTTGCCGTGGCAGCTGCCGAACCAGAAGTGCAGGCATTTGGAGGAGAGGACGTCGTAGTGGTAGCGCGGTGTCCAGCTGGAGCAGGAGCCGGCGGCACGGGGCAGAGAGCAGATGGAGCGCTCGACTGATGAAGAGAGGAACGTCAGAATTAGATATTATTATTATTGTCATTATTGTTGTCACTTTGGCCAAATGTACTAAGTTATTAGCTGTTATTACGTTTTTGAACTGAATGCAAAGCTTAATGTGACTTAGTACAATTGTCAGAAAGTAAATTGCAGAATAACACATGTGTAGGTTGAAGGCCACATACTGTTGCTGGGTGGATCAGGGCACCCTTCTCCATTGGGTCCAGCTGCAACTGAAGTCCGGTCAAAGCAGCATCCATAGGTCGTCAGTCTGCACTGCCTGGCATTTTCAGTCGGGAGAGTTGCTGCCACCTGGGGAGAGAAGAGAAGAGTTAATGCTAAGTCTAAATAATGACCTCACATGTCATGCATCTGTGCAATCATTAGCAATAACGTTAGAAGGTGCAATGTGGGAACACGTACGTCCACTGCTAAGGTTAATCAGTGCGAACATTTGAACCTTATGAGCAAATGAATTAAACGCTATACCTCTATATTATTGCATGAGAGTAGACTACATATTTATCAACAGATGTATGCATACAAATGTCAATAACAAGGAAATCACTGGGAGAGAGCAGAACTTCGAGTGCTTTTGAATATGCAAAAAAAGAATCTAAAAGGGTCATTGCACTGGGCCATGATCTGCTAAAGGCGCTGACCACTGGACAGATGTGCTGCGTCCAAGTCACATAAATATAAGCAAAACAGTTTATTATCCTCCAAACCGGGAAGTAAGGTAAAAAAATATAAGAGACAGCATGTTCTGTGGCAGAGCATATGTCTTGTTTGAGTTTAAAATAGCATGCTCGTTTGTTTTGGTTTGCTAAAGTGTAGAAGTCTCCCACATGTTCTTGTAACAGGGCCAGTGTGCAGCTGCAGATTTCCAGTGGTCACTGTGTGCAGTCTCTGTGTTTTCTTACAGTGGGAGCTGGGGCCACATGCTCTGAGCAGCCCTCTCCGTTTGGGCCCAAAGCAGTCGTCACTCCGTCCTGGCAGCATCCGTGACTGAAACACAAGATAGACACAGGAAATCATGAAGAACAGATTATTCTTTGAAGAAGTTTGTGTGTCAATAACTGGCAAAAAACAGTTATTGGTTTTTGCCAGTTATTGTGTAATTTTAACACTAAGAATGCACTCTAAAACACATGCTGTAAAAACAACCAAGCATAAAACAATATTGGTTGGATTGACCAATCATTTGTACTGTTTAGGGCTATGGCTAGCTTGGTTCAAACAACCAAAAGACTGGTGAGATGTAACTGGTTAGGAATTTATAAGTTTATTTTACTTATAAATGTGACACAAATCCTCCAAAGATCCAATTTTCAATTTCACAGGTGATTAGAGGCAGCCGTGAGCGTGAATTGATCAGACACTGGCGAGACATTTACCCATATTAGACAAGACAAAATCATGGCCAATGAAAATAAGACACAACAAGACTCTGATCGAGTACATCATTAATAATTGTGCAGCGATAGTCGTTGTTTAAAACTGTGACTTCCCCAAAAACAACACCCAACCTATTTTGCAGCTTCTGTAACATTACTTCTTCCATCAGTAATGTTTTTAATCAAATGTATTACACTGGTTTGAACCAAACAAACACTATACTATAATAAAATAATGTAGTAACAATATATTAATACAGTAGTACTATGATATCATAATAAAGTGTGATTCGAACACATCGGTTTAGTCGAGCATAAATGTGTACCTGCTCTGGAGACAGGAGGTCAGGGGTGTGGTGGAGGTCTGGATCTGGGGGCAGCCCAGTCCCTGTGGTCCTCCCGCTGAGGTGCGCCCATCAGGACAGCAGCCGTAACGTGATTGGCTGCAGTGGAGGGCAGGGGCGGAGCTATGAGGGTCCTGTACTGTGTTTGTTGTATTGGTGTTCATGGAGTCTCTTTGCTGAACTGTAAAAATACAAGAGATAATATGATTTATTCTGGGAATCAAACTCAATCTAATGATTCAGACTGATCTAGAATAGGGTCAGCGAGATGCAGAGGTGTCAGTGTCAAAATATTATCATCAATAGGTTATACATTCATGTCACAAATAACTTTAAAACGTTATTAGAATAATCTTTGTGAAGGACATCACCAATATAACCAGATGGTGCAAGATAATAATTATACTTCTGTGGATTCAGTTTATATTATTCCAATTTGAATAAGTCCAATTGTGTGCAATGATAATATACTTCAGAATGTAACAGGACCAAAGCCATTCCACATTAGGCCTAAACTGGGACAAAGACAAAATATTTAGTGCCATATTGAAAATGACACAAACTTGGAACTCAGCCAGTGTTGTAACACACCTCAGTGGTTCCAAAACATTTTAATCAGTCTGACAGCAGCAGTGGAGCCCATAAAAACCCTTGGACAATTAGAACAAGGACAAGAGGGGGAGGGGCAGCTTGGAAGGACAAAAGTGACTGAGTTACATTAGTGGACATTACAAGATAATGTCCACTAATTTCAAATAGTTGGCCTAAAGAGTGTTTTGTTGTTTTTGTGGTTAAAAGCAACACAATGCGTAGTGTTTACAAGTCAACCTTTGGCATTAATCCGGTCAAAATGATAATTGCTTGTAATACAATTATTTCCACTTTATGTGCAATGTCCTCCCCATGCAGATACCATCGCTGTCTCTGGTATGTTCCACACGATATGCCATTAACCATTTAGCTTGCATTATTCATTCATCAACAATTCAAATAAAAAAATCTGAGTGAGCTTGCCTCTCCCCAAACCTCTGCTTGAAGACAAGATTGTTACGCATCCTTCATACGGGAAGATTCATAGTACCCCTCTAAATTACGGAGCAAAGAACCAAAAGGATCTTGCAACTAGTAAGTTATTACACATGATTCAGAGATGTTGACAGACCTGTAGTTTCGGGGACATAGGGCTGGAAGTTAGTCTGAGTGATGTCATGTCCGCGAGGGTCCTGAACACTGGGCACACCTACACAAACACACACATACATATATATTATCTTAAACATGTATTATTAAACATAGGGTCCGGCCTGTGCTTACTCTGAGGGCTGTAGCAGGGCTGGGTGTTACAGCGCTCCACGGTGGCAGGTTTGGGCTGTGCGCTGCACTGTCCCACTGGGTACAGGTGTCGCTCAGAATCCGAGCAGATCACCTGCCGCTCCCGAGAGCCGGAGCCACAACTCCTCGAGCACTGTAGAGACATAGACACATCCGTTGTATCAGATATAATAGCACAATAGACACATACATAACATTGTAAACATGTAACCAAGGAGTAACTATACCTGTAACTAAGACAAATAGAGAATTCTGCTTCTAGTCTAACTGATGAGTTTTTGAAGGTGTTTTGTTAGCATTAAGGAAACTAATCCAAAGTCATGTGTAAGTATTACAAAAGACTGAAAAAGGATGAAGGATTAATTGTGTGTAAATATATACTTTCTATAATAAAGTAGATCCTCAAATCAGCCTAAAAATGATCAGCCTCAAACAAGTTTAGAATGTTTTCAAAAAACGTGTTAAAAAATCCTATGGGGATTTTTAATGGGAAATTTTACTTCCTGAACCAAAATTGTGTAAGCTCTCAGTCGAACAGGGATTAGTCAAAGCAAAGGAACTGAACAATTTCAATTCCTGAACCAATTTTTCTCTGTCCAATTTTCAGCTCCATATAATACAACATGGAGGTCAAACAATTTATTGAATCAAAGATTGATTACTGTGAAATTGCAACTGTATGTGAGTGTGTGTGTGTGTGTGTGTGTGTGTGTGTGTGTGTGTGTGTGTGTGTGTGTGTGTGTGTGTGTGTGTGTGTGTGTGTGTGTGTGTGTGTGTGTGTGTGTGTGTGTGTGTTTGTGCAGGTGTTGGGGTTTTAAAATTAATATGTATATTTCAGGCCAGAAAAATTATCCAATGAAATGAAATTCAAGGCTTCTTACCAGGGTCCATGCCCCGACGTGCCAGCGGACATCTCGAGCACAGGGGGCTGCCTGGCAGGCCCTGATGGCGGGGGGTCTGAGCAGAGTGGCACAGACCGTCTCCTCCAGCCTCATGCCCCCAGAGCCCACACAGGTCACCTCCCGCGTCTGCTCCCCGGACCCACAGGTCGCTGAGCACTGGGAAAGAAACAAGACTTTAGAGGCAACATGACGAGGCGAAGGCCGTGGATAATACATAAACAAATAAACAACAACTAATGAGTAAATGTTAAAATCATTTTCACCTGTTAAAGCTGTGGTATCTAACTTTTTTCCCACACGTATAAAACATGTCTGTGCTGACAGAAATAGTCTCATAAGAAAACATTTTGAGAACAATGAAGACAACAACATGCATACTTGTCATCGTGGGTGGACCTCTCTCTTTTTTCACTTTTCCTGATCTTAAGATGTGACAGTGGCCACAAAATAACTAGTTTTACGTTTTTAACAAAGCTATTTTTGTGTCAGTCAACACCTACTTCATTTGTTTCTCATCTTAGTAAATTGCTGCATTGAGTTATAAGTGTCAGATCACAGTGAAATGTGCAACAAACGTCCTGAACGAGCCTTTTCAAACACTGTCACTCACCGGACTCCACCTGGTGGTGCGGTACTGCGCGCACTGCTGCATGTTGCAGGTCTGCATGGTAGGAGGCGCCTCTGAGTAGGCTGCACACACAGCATCCTCCACCACACGTGGCCCAAATGCATCCTGGGTAATGCACTGCATTGAGCGCACCTGAGAGCCGCCTCCACAGGTGACGGAGCAGGTGTTCCACTCACCCGTCTTCCAGCTGTTTCATCACACAATGGAAGATATACAGGATTAGAACGGTTTATTTACAGTATCAAGTTTGAAAAAAGTTTATAGGTTTAAAGTCTCTCACAAGGCTTTTTCTTACAAATATGTAGTGCAAAGGTTTTCTATTCAGATGACAACAATACTGTATGTACTTGTCTCAATCATTGATATTGTTTTGGAAGAAAAATACACAGAAAATGATCAATGCCATGTTATAATTTCTTATGTGTTTTGTTACTCTTACCATTTATTTTCTCAAAGTGTATACAAACTTTTGATCTCCATACTGTACACACTTTTTACTCATTGCATATTTTATCTATGAGTGAAAACACAACCAGCCATGGAAGCACCACTCCACATTCTATTACACCATTTGTATGAAAAGAGCTTGAGTAATAAAGCGTGATTGATTTGATCTACAATCTACATTTAACTAACAAGAAACTGCTACTTCTATACGGGAACTAAAGTGAAACGCGGATTTTAATCACATTATTTGGCATGAGGGAAGCCACAGACAAGACTATGTTGATCATTGCTTTGATTGACCAAAAGCAACCAAGATAGAAGTGACACTACTTGTATTTCACTACACACAGAATACCTGGACACAAGGCTCCTGCTCTTTTTTGTCCACAACTTTGGTGGATAGAGGAAGGCCATCCTTTTTTCAAAACAGTCAATACAAAACAGTTCATTTTTAAAACTGCATATTCTTACAAACTCTGCTGTTTTATGAGCATATTTGAGAAGCTTACCTGTGGACCTGAGGACACTCCTGGGGGTTGCAGGTTCTGTTGGTCTGAGGTCGAGGCAAAGAGGCACAAAGGTAGTCAGGATACACCTCGTGATCGATGGTGCAGAAGACCGAACGAGACTGGAATCCTGTGCATGCAACGCAACAATCTAAATAATTCAACCAAATCTACAGTTTTTACTATTAATAATTGTTGTTATATTTTCTCTTCTCTGACCTGATCCACAGTCTTTGCTGCAGCTCGACCAGGACCCGTAACTCCAGTAGTACCCTTGAGTGGAGCGCCCTTTGGGGAGGTAAAACTCATATTCCACTCCCTGGTTTGGCTCTTGGCTGATCAACTGCAATGACAATCCAGAGATCATAAACATATTTCAATAAAAGCAGAATATTCAAAAGAAGTTTTAGTGTAACTACCTCCACCACCAGTGGCTCAGTGGTGGGTCCACGGCCGATGATGGTTTCTGGAACGTTGTCACCTTCAGCGCCTCTCTGGTAGTACAGGACGGTCCCAGCGATCGGAGTGGCTCTGGAAAACTCAATCACCCAGTGGCCGTTGAGGTAGTACTCACCCCTGAGGTTCTTGATAGCTGCACAGAGATTATGAGCAGACATCTTAGAAATGCCCCGAGACCTGTACAGTGAGCAGGTTCTCAGAAAGGCCAGTTGCATCATTGGTTCTTTGGATCACCCCCCGAGGGAGCAGATTGAACTTTTACCTCAGGACGACGCTATTGGGCTCTTGGGTGCAGGAAAAAAAGGTTGGGAACTACCATGTATCCCAACAGCTCTGAAGCACATAGCACTTTATACAAACTATTGCACTTTATAGCACATTTGCACTGAAAGCTTTGTGACATCCTCTCCAGTTCTTGTTTTCTTCGGTGTTGTGATTTGACTGTGTTTGTCTGTTTTTAAAAGATCGTTTGCTGCAAAATCATTTTCCCCTCGTGGGACAATAAGGATAACTTTGAACTTTGAGACGAATAATGATATGGTTATTTCAGTATTTAAACAGACTACAAACATACATTAAAAAGAGGAAGAGAAGTTTTACTGTAGCACATAGAAATGCATGTAAAATAAATAACAATATTCACCCAGGTAGTTACGAGTGGCCACAGATTCCCTGATGCTGATGGTGGTGGCTCCAACAGGGATAATGAACATCTGGTTGTAGCCTTGTATCAAAACAAGATTGTGTTTGCAGTTAACGTGGATATTTGCAGAGAATAACAGTGCAGTGACAGTATAGTACCATTGGGCAGCTCTCGTGTGCTGAAGCTGCTTTTGACCTGGCGGCAGGTTTGTCCGGTGCCCCCACACTGCAGGCAGGGGTCCTCCTGCTGCGAAGACTCCAGCATGTTGTCACAGCCGAGACGCTGGACACAAAAGACAGGTCGATGTTTGGGTTAGAAACAATTATACTGAATGGTCAACAACAGAAAAGACATAATATTCACAAAGTGCTGTGTTTTGAATGTGCAAAATAGATTTCTAAAAAATTGTATTCTAAAGACAAAACTAAACAGAAAAACATAAAAATACCTTGCTCACAATTGAATATCTGAAAAAAGACTAAATATGAGGTTGCAAAAGCCAGAAGTGTCTGGGAATGTCACCAACTATAACACCAGGGAAGTAAACACTGGATCCCAAACATTGAAATAGTCTGAATCAGCAGCTGTGCACAGCAGGAGAAGGTCCGCAGGTCTCAGTCACAACAGAATGAGACATAATGAGAGGAGAGTGTTGACAAATGATGATGAGAGCCTGCTCTTCTGCTCAGCCCCACACACCACTGCCTGACGCTTTACTATGTTTGACATTATTCTAAATATTAGGTTAACAGAACATCAAAATGGTCCTGACATCTGTGAGAGTTTAGAGTTCAGTAACAGCCACTTTCCCCGCTGTGGGACAAATAAATGTTATAATATCAAGAACCATAGCCACACCATATGGACTACTGATGACAATGTCTCATGGGTTTTCAAATGCATTTCTTTTATTGTGTAGCGACCATAAGCCATGTTACTTCTGAAGAGAATAGTGGCGGTTTAATACCTTGCATGACGCACAGCCGATCGTAAAATGCGAACTGGAGACAGGTAATGCGTTTTGTGGGTTTAATTACAAAACAGCGGCTAATCATGAACATAACAGCAGATGTGATTCACGTCTGTGAGTGACATAGCATCATTCATTTGCTTTTCATTTTTCTACTATAAGCAACAAATAATTGCCAATTTCTCTTCAGTTTTAGTGTGATATTTTAAAGAGGTGTTTGTAAAAAGCGCATATCCCGTTTACACTGCTCCCGTTAGCCTCCGGAGTCTCACAAACCAACATGACGCCTGAGTTATTAGACAATAAAACGGTGTCAAAAGCTGGGAGGTAGTTCTTCAGGGAGGTACACAAGACATGTTCAGACTGACGATGCATGGAGAGATTTAGGGTTGTAACATATTTACTGTAGGAGGCGAGGAGATCCCATAAAAGTGGTTTATTTGCATCTCGAGGAATTGCAATGGGAGCCGACGACAATAAAGACAAATTCCATATTTTATATTTATCTTTGGTATTTGCTTGAGGTCTGATAGTCTTGTCTTCTGATATTTCACACTATGGAATCCTTTGGAAACCATAATACAGTTGTGTAAAACTGCAGTGTAGTTTCTCAATACTTTATTATGTCTTTGCACATCTCGACATGATCAAAGCAAATTTCAAGAACCATTTCAAGACACTTTTTGGTGTTTGTCTTTTCACCCATTGTGCCAAACAAGTAAAATTCATATAATATTAATAATCATAGAAACAATCCTAATATCAAATAAATAAAAAGGGCATGGGCTAGCTTTAATTCACAGATACAGATATTTTGTCAAACGAATCTACAGCCAGTGCCATAAGACAAAAAGAAAAAGTTAATGCTCTAAATGATGAAGACAACAGAAAGCATACTAGAGGCCAAGTAAAACCGCTACAAACAGAACTATATTTACATGAATGTGCCAACTTGTATTTTTTCAATGGTTACCTTACAGACGCCGCCCACACAGATGTCATTGCGGCCCGGATGGCAGGGCGTCCCATCCACCACGGCGCTGCGGTGGCGGTAGTAAAAGTTCTCCCCTCGAGGCATGCAGTTCAGCTCACACGGGTTTCCAGCTATCGCAAACAAAATCATCTCAGACCCATACGAGACTGGTCCTTGTTTCATAACATTTTACAAGGGTATGTATTAGAAGCAGAGCAAAGACACTGACCTCCGTAGTAGGGGAGCCACTTGTAACGTTTGCCCTGGAAGTCTGTGCCGTCAAACTGGGCGCACTGCTCTTCACGGAAATCCTTGGAGCCCTCGGGACAGTCCTGCACCGGTCAGGGAAGGTAACTGTGAGTTTTTGGTATTTTGGTTTCTTTGACCATTTGGTAGATATCTTTTTGAGGTTACTATATCTACTTGAAGCATGCTTGGAACTGAAATCTACATCATTTGGTAAAGGCCTATAATAAAAAAAAAACTAAAAGTAATAATAATAATAATACGTAAAAATGAATTAGTTGTGTTCTTATTGATCTTAGAAAATCCAAAAAAGAAAAATAATTACATGGCTTTCTTCAAGGAGTGAACATTAAAGGGTTAAGATACTGAAAAACACTAAGTTGGATTGAGAAGCCACTTTCATACCTGGATGTTGCAAGAGCTGTACGATTTCTCAGGCCCCACACAGTTGTGTCCTCCGTCCGTTCTGAAAGTGAAAAACAAAAAGAAAAATATCAATGTGATTATTCTTTCTCCTCAATTGGAAACACAAGTGAAAACCGTAAAATGAGAATATGGGTGAAAAGTCGATATAGTTCTGTAATGAAACTATTGAGAAAATGAAATTGTTGCTCATTCTTCCATATTGATGCTATACTGCTCAAAGAAGGATCCAGGAAGTCAAGAGGACTATATTATCTTTATTATCATTATTATCATTATTATCATTATTATTATTATCATTATTATTATTATTATTATTATTATTATTATTTATTCTTTATTTGTGCTTCACAGCCCACGTCACACAAGCCACACATCATCACAAAAAACACATAAATCACCATTAAAAACACAATCAAAATCACAAAGGTAATCAAAAACATTAAAATCACACAAGGGATTAAGATAATAAATGACAATAATGCATTAAAAAGAGTAGATTTAAAAATCCTTCAGTTGTATGCACAGGAAAACAAAACCGTCTTTAACCTGGATTTGATTTTTTTTTTTTAAGAAATATAATCAAATCAAACCAGAGATTGTCAGGTAGTTTGCATGTTGGGTCATAAGTCAGCCTGCACGTCGGGCAAGTCATAACCGTTTGAAAGAATTGTGTTATGAGTGCAATTGCAAAAACACTACACCAATATGCAAATCATAGAACCACGGAAAGTAAAACACCAACACTTTACTTTCGAATAATCCAAATCCAAATTCAGGCCTCCCTCACAATGACTTAATCTATCGTTGTAAAGATAATGTTAAGTCGTGTCTGCGTGAAGTGGAGCGACTTAGCCTTAGACAAACAACAGCTCATTCCAAACAGAGACAGAGAATATGTGTTTTTACCACCAACACCACCACCGCCGCCGCTGCGTCCAGTCATCCTGAAAAGTCATGCTTAAGTCACCGCCCAAAGTACCTGCCCTTAAGCCCCGAAAACATAACACGCTTTTGTCAAAACGCCAGATGTCAATTATAAGACATGTCTGAGCAGAAGTGGGCACTCGGAGAAACAAATCAATACAGCTAAAAAAAGAGAAAAGTCTATGAGGAATCCTTGGTCATTGTTTTTGAGTTGAAATTAATGTATGGTAACGTGGAAATCCCCCGAAAATCATAGAATTACACAACAACTCTGATTACTGTGGTTAGTGGCGTGATTCAGGCACGATACAACAGTGTGTATTTTGTGAAAGATGCTGAAGGCAGCGTCAGCGAAGTGAGTAAGTCCAGGCGTGGGCCATAAATTACATATATATATACTGTATGTCTTGATGAATGTGGCTCTATATTTCAAACATGTTTTTTGTGGGTTTTTTACTACTTTGAGTACAACATGACCTCTACCAAGAGATAGAGCCAAATAGTTGAAATATGTCAGAACAAGCAAAAGCATGTTACATTTGTTTCATTACAGGATTCTCCCATGGGCGAGTGAGGAATAAATAATTTGTTTTGATGAAATGACTTAATGTAAAAAATAAAATAAAATAACACTGACCACTAATGACCCCCAACCAAGCAGAAAATACGGTTGTGAGTATGACTTAGGAATATAATAAATAAGTAAATAAGTCATCTTCTTGCCACTCTCTTTCTGGCAGAATTAGGAGTCATGTTTATATACAGTAATATTATATTTTGTATTTACTGTAAATTCACTTTTTGTCTTCCTTGTACTTATCTGTGCCATTGCCTGAAATAAATGAATAGATAGATGAATAGAAAAAATATGAACATTAATGTTGTATCTGATTGTATGGCCAGGAATTGTTGGTTTATTAAAAACTGGGGAACCAAACTTATTATTAAACGATTATTGATAAATCGATATAATAACCTTTTTTCTGAAAAAAAGAGGACTAACTTATTTCAGTCAATCATCTCTCAGCCCAAAGTGTCAAATAGTGACTCCCTGGGCTCTTTTGTATACAGTAAGTATCCACAAGTTGACATGTTTTCAAAAAATAGGATTTTTTCATTCATGATTTTTAGATAGATTCTTTTTTTATCTTGAAGGAAGTTGTACATTAGTCCCTTGCTCACATTCGCACAGCTGGATAAAGTTAAAAGAACAAATAAATGAATCAAATGACAATAAATACATTGTCATTGAATACAAAAGCCAGTTTAGTCTTTCTGTTGGGACAAAAAACACACTGTTATTATGAAATAGAAACTAAGGTACCCCAGCTTTAATCTCAAGTAAACGTGGTGCTGAACCATGTGCAGCATGTTCTTGGTTTTATTCCAAACAAAGTAATTGAAATCAAAAGTGCCAAATATCTTCAGCCAAACATTGAGCCAAACGGTTACACCCAAAATGCCCTTTTTCAAGTTACTCCCTGAATATCGGGCTGTAACAAGCAACAATGGATTCCAAAAAAGAAAAAACTTTTAAAAAACATTGTAATTCTCGGCGACATCATGATCCGAGAGGCAGAAGGGTTAAAGTGTCTGCGGTAAATGTGATGATTGAGGTTGAAAAAAGAGGATTGTAAATATTTGGAGAGACACTGCAGACAGGAGGTGGAGATAGGACACATGTATCTGGCTGCAGACACAACACGGGAACAGCATTTAGAAGCATATGTCTGTGTTTTGTCCTAGTAGCAGTAGTAGTAGCAGCAGTAGTAGTAGTAGTAGCAGTAGTAGTAATAGTAGTATAAGTAGTAGCAGTATTAGTAGTAGTAGAGTAAGTAGTAGCATAGTAGTAGTAGCAGTAGTAGCAGTAGTAGCAGTAGTAGCAGTAGTAGTAGCAGTAGTAGTAGTAGCAGTAGTAGTGGCAGTAGTAGCAGTAGAAGCAGTAGTAGCAGTAGTAGTAGTAGTATAAGTAGTAGCAGTAGTAGTAGTAGTAGTAGTAGTATAAGTAGTAGCAGTAGTAGTAGTAGTAGTAGTAGTAGTAGTAGTAGTAGTAGTAGTAGTAGTAGTAGTAGTAGTAGTAGTAGTAGCAGTAGTAGTAGAGTAGCAGTAGTAGTAGTAGTAGTAGTAGTAGTAGTAGTAGAATAAGTTGTAGTAGTAGTAGTAGTAGTAGTAGTAGTAGTAGTAGTGTTAGCAGTAGTAGTAGTAGTAGTAGCAGAAGCAGTAGTAGCAGTAGGGAGTAGGAGAAGTTGTAGTAGTACAAGTAGTAGCAGTATTAGATGTAGTATTAGTAGCAGTAGTAGCAGTAGGAGTAGGAGAAGTTGTAGTAGTACAAGTAGTAGCAGTATTAGATGTAGTATTAGTAGCAGTAGCAGTAGCAGTAGTAGCAGTAGCAGTAGTAGTAGTAGTAGTAGGAGAAGTAGTAGTAGTACAAGTAGTAGCAGTATTAGTGGTAGTAGTATTAGTAGTAGTAGCAGTAGCAGTAGTAGCAGTAGCAGTAGTAGTATTTGTTTATTTCAATCAGTCAGTTGTGTTTTGTCGAGCTGGAACATAAAACACATAACTCTCAAAGCTCTTGCTCTTGTTATTGAATTAAACTGTTTTTGTCGATTGGTTTCACTTTGACAAATGTTTCTTGTACTTTTTAGCTTGTTTTAGAGAACAGTAAAGTAAGAAATTAATAAAAATGTAGTGCAAAAGAAAACAATATAAACAAGAGACAAAAAACCCAGACACAAAACTAACAGAAATGAACCGTTTTGAAACAGAGGCTGAACAAAGCAGACTCTTATTTGCTCATTCTCACTCATTCAACACAACCCACACAATCGCACACACTCAACAAAAGCACGACACACGACAAGACACAGGCCCAAACACTCTCTGACCACACACCTCCCCCCTCTCCCTCTACTCACTCACACACTCCACATAATTCTTCAGTATTTCCTTCTTGCTCTGCTTTTTAAAACTTGTCTGGTGCACACTGGGGGCACTTTTGCACGATTACTCCAATGTGGTTTTACTGCAAATGGCAAATTAACTGAATCTGATTGTGATAAAAAATAAAATAAAAGTTCAGACCTGTGAGTGATGCAGCGCCTGGTCCTCATGGTCACTCCACTGCCACAGCTGCGACTGCACTCTCCGTACGGGCCCCACGCGTCCCACGAGTCCCCGCCCGGGCCCTGCACATGTAAGAACACAGGTTACAGCAGATATAGAATAATGTCTGCGTGAAAAAGGTCAAGATACAGTTTGTCTTCGGTTCATCTCCATCCTGATGTCTGATAATGAGCTCTAATCTGGTCATTTCTTCTATCAAGAATTTTCCATTTTTATTTGTCATCTCTATTTGGCTTTGGAACGACCTGCCCGAGGGGTCACTTCTTAAAAACCCACTTTTATCAAATGGCCTTCCCATCATTTTGGATTTGATCTTATTCTATGATTTACTATTTAATTTTATTGTCTATTATCTCAAAGAATAGATCCTGTTTCCTTCTGTTTCCTTCTACTTTAAACTCTATTTTTTACTCTATGTATTTTATTTTTCCACATTGTCTTTTTTTGTCTTTTTGCTGTCTGTCTGCTTCATACTCCTATGTTTGATATCTTCAATCAATATGACCGATTTTAATGTATTATCCTGTCTGTTATTATTATTATTTTTCGAAACAGCTCTATATTTTCACTGTTAAATTGGTTGAAATCTGAAAAAACTAAGAAGAAAATAAATCACTGGTTTAAACAATGAAGCAGTCAGTAAGGTGCATAACATTAAAACTTCAGGCCCTCCTGTAAGTCTGTAAGTCTGAAAAGGCCACAATGAGGAATATTATTGTATATTATTATTATTATATTCAGTGTAGTTTTATATGGTATCAGGGCTGTTTTAGCAATATCAGCAAGTCACAATTATAAAATCGTAAAACATTTTAAATCACATTAGTTAACGGTCTGGGATAAAACATAGTATTACTAGTTGCTGAGTCCAAAACACAAAGGACCCAAATGTGTTTGAATGATATCGAGTTTTTTTCTACTGTGTATGCTCTATAAAAGTCCTATATAAGTCCTTTTTTCTCCTCAAATAAAGTGTCCATTTGACTGAGAAAACAAAGTAAATCTGTACTTAAACTTGTGTGTAGCAGGAATTGTGTTACTTTGATTGTACAATATAGTGTTTCTTTTTGTACTGATTTCCATGACTGAGTTCCTCCAAAAAGAATTACACTACAGTAACTAGCCACAGTAGTAACTCGACATCCGGGTTCTTCCCTCTCAACACTACACTTTCTCCGGATCACGTCTCATGTATCTACACATCATAATTAAGTTGCATTCACCGATTGCACTGGAGCCAGGAGCAGCTGCAGGGCGACCACAGCCAGCAGCATCTTCATGGTTCTCTGCAAGACAAAAGTCAGTATCCAGGGTCAGTCACTGGGACTAATCAGCGGCACGACTTTGAGAAATCCTCCACAAATAAGCAGGCGTCAGAGACCACCATTCACCAGAGAGAGACCACCATCCACCAGAGAGAGACCACCATTCGCCAGAGAGAGTCCACCATCCACCAGAGAGAGACCACCATTCACCAGAGAGAGACCACCATTCACCAGAGAGAGACCACCATTCACCAGAGAGAGTCCACCATCCACCAGAGAGAGTCCACCATCCACCAGAGAGAGTCCACCATCCACCAGAGAGAGACCACCATTCACCAGAGAGAGACCACCATTCACCAGAGAGAGACCACCATTCACCAGAGAGAGACCACCATTCACCAGAGAGAGTCCACCATCCACCAGAGAGAGTCCACCATTCACCAGAGAGAGACCACCATTCACCAGAGAGAGACCACCATTCACCAGAGAGAGACCACCATCCACCAGAGAGAGACCACCATTCACCAGAGAGAGTCCACCATTCACCAGAGAGAGACCACCATTCACCAGAGAGAGTCCACCATCCACCAGAGAGAGACCACCATTCACCAGAGAGAGTCCACCATCCACCAGAGAGAGTCCACCATTCACCAGAGAGAGACCACCATTCACCAGAGAGAGACCACCATTCACCAGAGAGAGACCACCATTCACCAGAGAGAGACCACCATCCACCAGAGAGAGACCACCATTCACCAGAGAGAGACCACCATCCACCAGAGAGAGTCCACCATCCACCAGAGAGAGACCACCATTCACCAGAGAGAGACCACCATCCACCAGAGGCTCCGCAGAGGTCACCACGACACGCTCCACTTCTACTCACACAACGGTACTGGGATTCTCTGCTGTAAATGCTTCCCCTGATTGTTGCCAAGTTTAATAAATCTGTTGAATGGGAGGATGTATGAGTGATTTAGGAGGAGATTTTGTGTGTGTAACGCTCGTAAAATTTAACATTCTCTAGTGGTCTGTGGTTTGGGTCGGATCCACCGCAAACCAGCTGCTACTGCGTACAGGCAACGTAAGCAGAGGAGAAGATACGCAAAATACTGTTACACGTTAGGAAATTAGAATAACGGATGGAAACGGACGTAGCATTCAACCATTTTTTGTGTCTATATTAATCAGTAAGGACGAGGTTTAGTGTGAGACATCAAAAAATGTCTGACTTTGCACCTGCCAATAACAACTTTGGTGAAACTCACTCAGATAACATTGTATAGTTCCAACAAAGTCCATATATTTGTAATAAAAACAGTTTGAAGTATTAGTAGTACATCTAAATTATTTTGTATTTAATTTGTACATGTTTTAAGAAAGAGGCAGGCAACATAAGTAAGTAAGTAAATAAGTAATGTTTATTTATATAGCGCATTTTACAGACCAAGGCTTTACAATGTTCAGAGTTCAGATATTGTTGCAATCACTCCACAAGATTTTTTTTCTGCTCTTTTTCATTTGTGTGACAAGACTACAATTATTTGAATTGTATTGTCATGTCCACAATTTAAATAATGAATAATATAAAGTTTTTTTTATAATACTGTGTCTATAATGAGCTCAATGGGGTCCAATAAATCTAGACAAATCCGGTCACTTTTCATAAAATTGGGATGCGAGCGATTAGAGCCACAAAGAACACAGGCTGAAAGAAAAGAGTTAATAATAATTTAAAAAACAGCAACACTTAGAACAGTCTATATGTCGGTTACACACAGGCCGCTGTATTGATCATCAGTGAGTCAGTAGCTGGTTAGAAAGGAGACGTCTGGAATCGTTTTGCAACACATCCACACGCCCTGATCCTGCTGCAGCCTGCGGTGGTTACACTTCATTCAGACCATTTATCAATGACAAGTGAACCAGCAGAAAACACACTCTGAGCTGGGGCTGACAGAGGCTCACAACACTGGGCCATGTGCTTCCTCAACAGAAAGAGGAAGAGGAGGACAGGGAAACATGTCGTGATAAGAAATTTCCAATTCTCAGATGCGTCTGTTGTTGAATAGATTTTAGTTAAAGGGCTAAAATGTATTGTCTTTTTCAGTTTCTATAAAAGCAAAGTCTGATTCTATACAAAATACACAATGAGTTAAGTATTTCAGTGCTTTTACTTTACTTTACTTTACTTTACTTTAAACCCCAAAAAGTACTTTCTCCTGCCATTTCAATCATGGTATGGTGTATTCATTCTAGCCATGCTTTAAAATTCCTTCATTCATTAGGGTTAACCATGCTTCTAAGTTCAGCTTTGTCAAACAACCTTTATCATAGAAAGGTAAAACAAATTGTAATGTTTTTACTTAAGCACAAATAACAGTATATACTTATTTTACTTGACATAATTTGCCACTACTGCACATAGCCCAAACCCACCATTTCATCAGATTTACAAAACAATTAAAGTTATTTTTAATTCCTACCTAACTTCTTTTCTTTCCTCTCCCAAACTCATGCAACCCGGGTCTATATTTGACTTTCACCTCTTTCACTTTTCATTGGACCTAAAAACCTGCGTATATAATCCACACGTCTAGAACCAAAAGACTTGACTGAAATGAAAAGCGGCTTGCCTTATGTAGTGGTTCTTGATGCGGTCTCGAAAGCCGCTTGAGTCCGTCCCTGTGAGTCCCGGGTCTGGACTGTCCGCAGAAATTAGTCTGTGCCAAAGTGCGTCCAGGATTTATACTCGGCGGGTTTGTGAATGGACGCGAGATTTATGTAGCGTCTCCAGAGAGAGAGAGAGAGAGAGAGAGAGAGAGAGAGAGAGAGAGAGAGAGAGAGAGAGAGAGAGAGTCCAGGCTCCCAGGGGACGCAGCCTCCTCTGGGCGTCATCAGTGCGCCTCCCCTCTTCTCTCTCCTCTGTCATTTAACGTTTAACATAGTAAAAATCACAGTTAATAATAAGCGTGTGCGTTTGTTGTCAAATCGGCTTGCATGAATTGGGCAAACTTTTTTCCGAAGTTGTTATTTTCGTGCTTTCCCTTTCGGCGCGAGTATTTCCAAGAAACTCTCGCTGATATGTTGTCTGCAGCAGAGGGATAATTAGGAGTTTATGAGAACAACCCATTGTTGAATGTAGTTTTCTGTGACTCCTAAATCTCAAATCACAAAATAAGACACTTGTCATGCTGCAAAAAAAATAAAAATAAAAATAAAACAAGGTTAAATAAGACAGGTAGGCACTTGATTTGAGTAATACACGTTATTTCAGTGGCTTTACACCAAAGTTGCCATATGGGACCAGGAGCTTAGTCTTGTTTGAAGCGCAGTAGAATTTAGTGCTATTATAATGAAAGTCTGTATGTTCAATGTCCAAAAACCCAGGATTTATATATAGTTAGAATAGTCTGGTCACTTGTAAACTGTTTGGGACCACTGTGGTATTTTACTTTCAAAATAATGATAAAAAAGAATGATAATTTAAAACAAAAATCTCTGGTAACAAAAAATCCTGCGCTGGAAACCTGCGCAAACACAGGCAGAACATGCAAACTCCACTCAGAAAGGCCATGTCTGGAGCTGGAATTCTCCAGAGTACCAGAAGGCTAACCACTCAGCCACCAACCGCCTACAGCTCTGGTGACTTTAGAGAACATACTGCGGTTGAATGGATGAACTCTTTTGGCTTGTTTCGGGCCGAGAAGTTTGGTTTTGTTTCAGATCTTTGAAATACTTGTTAAAACAGAGATTGTTTTGGAGCCATTTATCTCTTTTAATTGAAATGTGCATGATTACAGCGGCTATATCTGTCTGGGTGGTTTTGTGAATCGGAATTGAAATTCACCAAAAGGGAATATTTGGGGTTTTAAAGGGAGAAACCTCAAAGCCACTCTGACAGCTAAGTTTAACCCACAGGCCCCTCCTGTGTCATGTTCTCTTCAGGAGGTGAGGTTTGTCCAGAGCATGAGCACCATAACTGCACCCAAATTATGCAAAGTTATGCCATTGTGGCAGAAAGTAAAAATATGGTGTATGTTTTTGGATGTTGAGGTGCTTTCAAGGGAGCAATTAAACTGTTTTGGTCCATGAAAAAGAGCTTGTTTTCAAAGCTATCACATGCTTTCACACCTTAGAAGCCCATTTCTAGCCACACATTTTGTAATGTTGGCAACAATTAAAGCAATTACTGTGTCCAAGCCTGAGCAGAGAGAGCCTGTTTTCTTGCTAAAGCCGTTTACATATGCAGAATACTCAGAGTAATTGTTTACTCAGAGTTACTTTATGGTATTTGATTGTTAAAAGTAGGCTTCAAAAAGCACAATATTGTATGAAAACACAAGACTTGTGGAATTTACCTAACTTACAGCATGTCGGGAGGACGGGAAAGAACAAAACTTTGCGACGGCTGTTTTTCACTCAAACAGGAGCTAAAACTTCTTCAAGACCGAATGTTTGTGCTTGAATCAGAATTGGGGCTGAACACAACAATACCAGTGAAAGGAAATGGACCACATGGACAGAACGTAAGTTATGATGACGCTATTTCATTTCCCAAAATCAACAGAGACAATTGTTGGAACACATATGGTGCCAAGCCCAAACAAGGCAAAGCTAATGATAACAAGAGTGTCATAATGCCACAGCAAAAATCTTTAATTACAAGAAACCGCTTTTCACCACTTTTGGAAGATGAATCAGCAGTAGTCTCTACAACAAAGCTGCTAAAAACTGCAGCGCCTCCACCAAGGACAAACTGTGTCCTTATCGGAGATGGCTCGGTGAAAAATGTAAACATGGAGTCCATGCTCACTGTCTCAGTTCACTCTGCTAAAGTTGCTGAGATAAGAACTCTCCTGCCTAAAGTGTTATCTGAGAACAGTGGTGTGCGTACATTATTGATCCACACGGGGGCGGTAGATATCTATGAGAAGGCAAGCGAGAAGTTACGAATGGATTTAACGCTGTTACTGGATGACCTCAAGAAAATGGACATAACAATTTTTCTTAGT